GAAAGTCTGTAAGTTGCTGATGCTAAGGCTAGGTTGCAGCATGACAAGTGGCATAAAGCTGTAGCTATCAGGGAGGCTTTCAGTCCTAAGGAGCTTGCTTTGAATATACTAATTGTTTAGCTGTATGTTAGAATGCAAAGGAAGTCTTTCCCTTTGATTGCCACAAGGTTTGCACCTGGAACTAAGAGTGTTTTAGTGCATTAAGTTAGAACTCCATTTTAACTGCAGTCCTGCTTACATAAAATCTGGGGAAGATAGCATAGGGAATGCTAAAAAGCCTTCCTTTGACATACTTTAAGTACTACGTGTTTGAAGATTCTGCTCTTTTTCCTTTCTTCCTTGTCCCTGGCTTTTAAAAAAGCTGTATGCCAAGTACCTGCCTGGGGAGGTGGAGGAGATCCGGTGCTTCTACCCTGGTCTGCTCAGGTTTGGCTTCTAGAAGAGGCTCTTCTTGATACTTGTAGGCTGTTCTTGATTCTCTGCAGCCTGGAAACCTTTCAGTTTTCACATAAAATTTTAGCCTGCTTTGGTGGTAAAGAATCAGGAGCTGCTTCATTTTGTGACAAAAAAAAATTCTTATCACACCTTTGACTGCTCTGGCAGTGCCATGATGTAGAGAAACAACACGCCAGGCAGCTCGCTAGGAATCTGTCAGTGGCACTAAGATGGCAGTGGGGAAGGAGTAAAATGGCGTCACCAGGAGCACTGTGATGAGAGCTGGACTGCGCTGTTCCTCTTCAGTCCAGTCTGAAGACACCTTTAGGAGCTTTGCCTTTCTGGTCTATGGTTACTTTTTATTGTTGGAAGGTAGAAGTTTTGAAATTTTCCTGAAGATTCTTTGAGTACTTTTATCTAGATAGTTTCAAATAACACTTTTAAAAAATTGTATTAACACTTCTGAATTGCTTCCTTTATACTTCTTTTCTAATATAGAAACTTACTCCTTATGTTGGATGGATTTTTAGAAAATTAAGAACAGTATACTTCTCCTTTACGGCAAGATGAAACTAGCATTCTTATGAAAATGTATTATTTATCCCTGATTTACATTCTAGCCCTTCATGGGGGTTGGTTGGTTGGTTGGTTGGTTGGGTGTGTGTGTGTGTGTGTGTGTGTCTGTGTGTGTCTGTGTGTGTCTGTGTGTGTGTGTGTGTGTATAAAATATGCCAGTGCTTTCCAAAATAAACCTTAATAGCATTTCTTTGGTGGCTCAGAGTATGGGTTATTTTGCAGAGTGGTAATGACATTGCTGATTTTTTTTCCCGTTCCCACCTCTTACGAATTTGGGAAAAGCGGAGTGGACCATAGAGTTACATCGCACAATCACGTCATCTTACTGTTAAGTAAAGCAAGGTTTACTGCAGTTAAGTGACTTTCTTAAGGTCATGCATTGAGAAGTAGCTGATCTTGCCTAAATCCAGACCTCCTGAATCCTGCCCTGACCTGCTGTCTACATCTGATTGTTTTTCTTTCCCTTGGTGAGCCAGCTGGTGACTGACTGATGGATCTTGTGGACTGAGCTTCAACAAAGTCACTCTGTCTTTGCTGGAGCAACCTAACTTACAGAGGTGTTCCTTTCAGTCGTGCCAGAAACGCCTGACTAAGCTTGCTTGCAGTCCTGGGCTTGTTTTGAAGATGATATGCATTTATAAATTTATCGTTTATAAACAAACATTTGAAAACAAGCTCTCTCCTGCAAGCTGAGCTTTTCTTTTAGGCCTATGGTGATGGTTCAGACATGAAGGGTGAAGCACTCCTTTGCCGGAAGTCCATCCATGTGCTAAGAGGGGAGAGGGAGCCGGGCGTTCTGAGGGCATCCCCACCCAATCAGTCACTCCTTTAACTCTAGGTGTGAGAGGCACATGGTTCGGGGTTGCTCCTGCAGGAGAATGGACCAAGTGAAAGGATTTAGCTGCTTTTCAGTATGGGGCATTGATATTTGAAAAATGACCTTGCCTCCTATGTACCGTGGCCCATATTTGCCACTCAGCTAAGCAGTGTTCCGTGTCTTCTGTACCTGTGGCCACCGTGTTGTTCATTCTGCAGTATTCCTCAGCTCTGATGACAGGGTGAAGTCAATGGTTCCAGCCTTTACTGAGGGTTTAGGAGAGTATGAAACCACAAGCAGTTAGTTAATAAAGGAATTCCTTGACAAAATTCCATTTCGGTCACTGTGAAATTATAAAAGAAAAAAATCTCATTTGTTTATGTAATCTCCAAACAAATAAATTTTTGGAACATGAATTTCCGTGTCAGAAGGAACTGCAGTGAAGCCAAGGCTCTTTTCTGTGTCTGCCGGTCCTGATGACTGGCGCTCCACTCCCATCCACATGCGCATTGCTGCAGAGCTGGACGATCTGGAATTTCGACTGGAGTGTAAATGACTGACACTGGTAGAAGCAGGGAATTCATATGAGATGTGGCTCCCAAACACTGTCCTAGCAGCGCTCCTTGTGCTTGCTAAGTAGAACTTAATCCTGAGCACTGCAGAAACCAGCCTGGCAAGGTGCTGGCTCTCACCTGACTGAATGAGACATACCCTCTGTGATCCTTTCTCTCTCTCAGCTCCCACAGCTTGCTTTTGTTTCTTTTCCAAAGGGAAGAAGGCATGAGATCCTACCAAGCAGGGATTGGTGCCTTGTCTTGTTTCTTGTCAGTAGTTGAGATTATTTTAGTAGGCCTTTTAGGGTGGGTTTTGAGGGCCAGTGGAAGGGATGCTGGCCGTAAGGAAGGCTATTGTTGATGTTTTCCCATTTATGTCACAGGGCAGGTTTAGTACCAAAGTTCTGTGGGCGTGGACAAATCTACCTCTGAGATGGAATGGAAATGCTTTTGTCCTGCCGTAATGAACCCTCTTTTACCTCCCCCAGAGTGACTGTAGGATTTGCTTTTTATGTCTGTTCATGTCTCTGGGTGAGGAAAGGGCCCTGCTGCTGCTCTTTGAAGCCAGGCATACTTTAGTGCACTATTAATATTCATTCCATTTACAAAGCTAGATTGAAAAAGTTCTCTCTTCAGAATCCTTCCCTTTCTTGTGTCTCCAGAGTTTACCCCTAGCAAGTGTGTCAAGCTTTTCGTGGGTGATTGGAGGAAGGAGAGGAAGCACTCACAGTTGTCCTGGCTTTCTCTTTTGGGACCACCAGAGCAGTCACAGCAGCTGGCTGACCGCCTTCCTTCCTGATGTCTAGCACTGTTTCCACATTCTTCCAGCAAGTGAGGGGAGAGGACAGCAGCAGAGGCGCTGCTCCTACAGCTTGGCCCCAGTGCCGCATCACCGCCCCTCTCACCAGAATGCAGGCTCCAGCTTATTTTTTCAGGAGTGGTATGATAGCAGCACTAAATAAGTCCAAATCACATGCCCTTGCTAGCCCTCTTGTGAACAGCAAGAGAGAGAGAGAATGCCTTACACAGGCCTGAAAGGGAATGGTGGGTTTTGCTGGGTGTGGAGAGAGGATTCTGCTGAAAAGCATTATTTCCCTCACCAAAGTCAAGGCCATCACTATTTCACTCATTTATATTATGTACTTAATACTTGTACCCGTCAATATTGAGGCTACAGGGCCTTTTAATAACCAAGATGCATGAACCGCTTTCCTTTCCTGGTTGTCTAGAAGTAGGGGTGCAGAAGGAGCAGATAATAAGAATGCCCCAGGGCCACTAAAAGAGGCAGAACTGGCCTTGCCGCAGAAACTGAGATTTCAGTGCTCCCACTGGGATGCAGCTTCCAGCATTGGTCTTCTCCCTGTGCTGAGCAGCCCTGCTTTTGCTGCCCTGGGATAGATAGAGGCACCCAGTAGTTTTGTGCCTACACGGTATTGACAAAGGGGGTGTTCCACACATCTCTGTACCCCTCGCTGCCCAATTCTGCAACCTTGAAAGTTGGGGTTTTGTCCTTGGATGATTGGGGAGGGGGTCAAGGACTTGGATAATAAGGAGGGAATCTATAAAAAGGACAAGTGGACTTAGAATACTATCCCTCTTTAAGGCCTGTGACTGTCTCAGAAGTAGAGTTGGAGAGGAAGAGACCTGGAATGTTAGTTAACACACTAAGAGTAGAATGTTGCCCATATGCCCCTTTTTCGTCTGGGAGGACACAAATCCTAGTGCTGAGCATTCTTGAATTTATTAGAACTTTCTTACACATGTTGAATTCTGTTTGATCTGTGAGAATTAGCAGGACTTCCTGTAAACCAGTTTGAATTATGGGAACAAGTAGTTAGTTTTGCCTTAATGGATCCAAATCCATCGTGCAATTTTGTGACCTTCTTTTTAAGGAAACAGCAGAAGCTCCAGAATAAAACGGGACCGGACATCCTGACAGTGACAGATGGTTTGTTACCTGGGCAGTGCCATGTTGTACTGCCAAGGTCTGCCACCTGTGGCTCCAGAACTGCCTTCAGCACCAGTGGATCTGCTGAGCCTGAAAATGGCACAGCTCCAAGATCACTCTTGCAGACTCTGCTGCCACCTGCTGAGTGAGAGCAGCTAGGCTTCTGCATGAATACACCATAAAAATACGACAGCATCAAATGAATTTCAGTTGGTTTTGTCAGTCTTGTCTGCCTAAGATCACTTTTGGTGGGGGGATCTTTTGGAGACAGGGTCTCCCTGTAGCCCCAGCTGGCCTAGACCTTGCTATGTAGACCAGGCTGGCCTTGAACTCACACAAATCCACCTGCCTCTGCCTCCTGAGTGCTGAGATTAAAGGCTTGCACCACCACGCCCGGCTACGATCACTTTCTTTGGAGATATTATTTAAGAGATACATGTAGTCTGTGAAAAAATGATTTAAAGTACTAAAGTTTTGTAGAAAACAACCAGCAGGACTTACTTTATATATCTGAGTTGGGGAATAAAGTTTGGACTTTATTATTCATACAGAGGGAGATCTGGCCTCCCGTGCACCTTGTAAATGATATTTTATGTATTCTCATTTTATTCCAATAATAACTATCTGATAAAATAGCCAAGTACACTATAAGACCTTATAGAAATTCTCTAACTTAAAATTTGAAAATACCCAAATTTAAAAGTTCCTGCTTTTTAAATTTATCAGTAATGCACATCTTTGCATTTGACAGTTCCTTGAGGAGGCATCAATCTAGTGCCATAAAAAGGAGCCAGTGAGACCGTCCATACCATTTGAGAAGTTCTGAGTCTCTCAGTCCTGGCCAAATTTCTGTGGTGCTCGTCTGAAATTAACTTTGCTCATTTTCCCATTAAGAAGGAGCTTTACCTTTATACAAATTCCACCCCAAAGAAGGTTTCAGAAAATGTCACTTGTCAGAAAAGGAGAAGGTTTGGGAGAAGCTAGGAGAGCAGGCATTTTACATGGAATGAGCTGAAGGAACCAATGGCATGGCGCAGCTCATGCTGCTTTCTGTTGAATCCAGTCTCTTCTCCAGCACCGACCAAAGTCTTAGCGAGTCCTTGACAGTGCCCTTTAATACTTGCTTCATCTTGGGACCAGAATTATTCTAATTATCTTTTCAGTTTTTAAAATTTCTTTTTCTTTTTTATTTTGCTATCTTTTTTGTCTTAACAGTTTGTTCAATCATAGCATTCATTCCTAATACCACTGTTCACTTTCTTTTTTTATATATGCTTATCTATTTTTATTTAATGTGTATGAGTGTATTGCCAGCATGTATGTAAGTGCACCCATGTCTTGCAGTGCTCACAGAATTCAAAAGAGAGTGTCTGATCCCCTAGAACTGGAGTTACCGAAGGTTGTTAGCCACCATGTGGATGCTGGGCATTCAACCTGGGTCCTCTGTGAGAGCAACCAGTGCTCTTAACCACTGAGCCATCTCTCCAGACCCACCACTGTTCACTTTCTGTTAATACTTTGATTTGCTGGCAAGATGGCTCAGTGGGTAAAGGAGATTGCTGCCAATCCTGATGCCGTGACCTGGATCCCTGGAATCTACATGGTAGAGGGAAAGAACCATTTCCCACAAGTTGTCCTTTGACCTCCACATGTATCACACAAACACACACACACACACACACACACACACACACACACACACACACACAAAATATAGTTGTAAAATTTTTTAGTTTAAATATTTTGATTTTGAGTGTTGGTTACAAGTTTCCTATTAATTTGTATATATCATATTAAATAACACAACATGTCACCTAACATGATATTTTTGCATTATGTCAGATATCTTTCAGTAAATGCCCAGTGCTGCAGTGCCTCACTCTAATTTGACAAGATGGATTGCCCGTTGGTCCATTGAAGGGAAGCGAAGAGATAGGGAATTAACCTTTCGTGTTTTGAGGACCATGTAAAATATAGGTATTGCTTTGTGCAATCAGCTAGACTCTAATTATATGTATGTACAGCAGTCAGGAAATTGATACATTCTTCAATTCAAGCTCATGTAACTGACAAAAAGATCATATATATGTTGTAGATGGGAGCAAAGAATTGTGAAAAATATCAGTATAAATTCTTTTTTCTTTTGTTTTGCTGTTTTTCTTTCCGAATATGGAAATTTTTCTCATAAAAACTCTTAAAAATTTATTTATTTTGTGTGTATGTGTACATGGGGTCTGAGGGTCCAAGCTCCGGTCATCAGGTTTTCAAACAGCACATGCTTTTACCCTGTGAGCCCTCTCCCTGGCCCAAGAGATTCATTTCTTGTAGTCTTCACTTTTAGAAAGCAAATAGCTAAGAAAATTTGGCCATTTGCAAAACAGACATCTGTTTGCCCATACTTTTTTTCTGTAGTGTGTTCTGAGCCCCACAATCCCTAGTGATTAAAATAAGGCAGTTTCATGTTTGTCTTCCTGGCCCTAAGCTGTTTAGGAGACATTTGGACCACTGGGTTCTTGGTGTTACAGCAGGTTTAGTAGACAATGGACTTAGCTTAAGGTCAGGGTCTTTGTTGTTGTCCATCAGGTCCATTACCAGATGGTCCACTTCCTCTCTCAGACATGGAACAAGGACAGGAGGTATTGTGGCTCCAGCAGATGTGTGGTGTTTGTTGTTCTAGAGCAGTAACAGTTATAATATTTTGGAATGCTGTGGAGTTGATGCCTAGAAGAGTAATTTCGATATTTTTAGACTGTGTCCCATACTAAGAAAAGTATGGTCCACTTCATGTATACCCCAATAAATATATGTAGTTAATGTAGTGTATTTTAAAAATACA